ATTTGCAAGGTGAGCATAAGGGGGGATAGAGCTGTGTTCAACCAATAGTGTCAATTACTCATCTAAAATTGATTCAATTAGGAACAAATGGGGGAGCATGTCCCATAATAAGTGAGCTTGCTTAACAGCAAGGACTCTTCCTGTAGGGAGTTGGGGTGGTGAGTCTTGAATTCTTCACTGTGATAGAAAACTATTTGGACTATTGGTCCTTAGCACTTGGTTGTATTTCTGTTGGCTTTTTAACATTTGAGCACTGCAGAAATTTGTGACATATTTTCGACTGCTCACTATTACATTACACAATTTTCTGTTAAAAGTTATTATTCGACTGGTGATCTTGTATTAGCCTGATCTAAATCACCAGGCTGGAACACAAGAAAAAGGCATAAGACATCTACATATGAAAGGAAATATATTTGAAAGCATGAATACACCATCAGATCAGCAACACTGAATTGTCTTAGTAATGTGAACTTTACTCGAGCTTTCTCCCATGAGGCTATAGAGTTTATTTGGACCTCCAATCAGTGAACCTGACTTGGTTAAAGTTATCTGGTTGTCCATGTGTAAATACCATATAGGCTCCCTACTTTGAGAAATGGTAAGAGTATATAAGAGTTTGTGGTAATCCTGCTTCCCCATTACATTGCTTTGGAGCCTTATAATATTCCCATTAATTACTCAGAATGGTTTCATCCTGGGCTGTTTGATTTTATTCAGAACCAAATAACACAAAATGAACAATGGTTACTGTATTATCTATGATTATTTGAACAGCCATTTTGAAGAAAACAAGACATTATAATAGCTAGTGCTGATTTAATACCATTTTGTTTTGAAGTGCTAACATGGTTTTAATCTTCTGTTCCCATTGGTTTCTATTTGTGGTATCTTATTGGATTGTATTATTTGTGATAGCATAAAAATATTTTATGGACAATGAGATAATACAATAACCATTGTTAATTTTGCATTATTTGGTTCTGAACAATCTGTAATATTTTCATGCTCTTTGATGGTTTTATAATATTTTGTTATGTTTGATACTATTGTGTATGAAAATATACTCAACTGCTTCAAGGAAAGAGACATTATGGTAGCTACTGATATGTCATGTTGTCTTGTGTTGAAATACTGTGTTGCTTAAATTGTTGGGCTCCAATCTCATTTGCTAAGTCCTCTTTTATTTTAATCTCTTTGAAATTAATATAAATTTTTTAAAAAGTTCCCAGGTGGCCACTTTCTTATTTATCAATTGGAGTGCTGTTTAATGTTGCCTCACCCCAAGGGATTTTGTTTAACCAATTTTAGCATCATTTTGACCAGCTGGCAACCTAGGTGAAAGCATGTCTTTTAAATCTGTTACTCAAATAAACCTTTATTACATGATCTGAAAATATAAATGTTGAGGAAAAAGTTGATGAGCTCAAATATAAAGAAAAAGCTTCTAACAGAGCATACAATTGGACAAATGGACAACAGATATATAAATTGACAATCATCTTATAAAATTAGAATGCCCTCAAATATATTTGACCATCTTGAACTATCATAAATAGAGTGAACCTTATTATAGATCAATTAATAGAGATCTCTTGAAATAAGAATACCAGAAAAGGAACCTAATTGATGGTTAACCTGAGGTAGCTCAGAAAGTGAAAAAGAAGGAACACAAATATTACTTAATCCTTTAGGTCCACCCTGTTCCCAAAACAGCAGTAGAGATGAGCCCAGCAGGTGCATGTGTGTAATCAACATGGCTGCTGGCAACCATTTGGCCTGCCAAAAGACTTCAATGCCTGAGACCCAGTATGGTGGGCAGGCAGAGAAAATGGTGATGCAGGGGAAGGAGAAAAAGAACCCTCAGATTGGACAGATGGCTAGGGTAGGAGGATTGAGAAGTCAGAGCCTTATGAGAAATGCTAGGGGAAGTATTAGAGACCGTAGGGGAAAGACTGGAGACCCTAGAGGGAGGATTGGAGACCCTGGGGAGTGAAGGAGGAGGAGAGGATGACACATGGGGTATAGAAATCTTTGGCTGAGAAAGCAGCGGGATTTGGTATGAGAGATATGGGGAGAAGCTGTAAACACAGAAGCCGCATCATAAGTGAGGGGAAGGAAGAAATCCTGGTGGAGCAGAGTGAGCCAGGAGTACTTGGGCCATCACAGAAGACAGAGTGAGAGAAAACCACATCCTTAATGTGAAGAAGGCCTAAAAATGAAGGGTTTCTGCCAACTTGTCACTATTGTGACAAAAGCATTAAAAAAATCAGCTTTTTGGTTGTAGCCTTTTAGAGGCCAAAAGCACCAAGGTTATGAACCAGGCACCACAGAGGTGTGTTTTCTGGAGGACAGGAAGTGGTCCCCACGACTGAATTATAAGGGAGCTGAGAGAACAATTTCACCTCAGGAACTAAGAGCTTTAGCTCCCCCAAAGAACATGGAAGCTGTGCTCAGTCACACACAACATAAGAGATTATAATCTATTTTGAAAGTGTGACAGGCAAAATCCCAACACCCATTCTTCTTGGCAGGTAACCATGAGAGCAGGGCGGGATCTCAGCACACAAAAATCTCCATGTTACCTCCAGGTATGTGGCCTAAGGAGTGTGGAAACTAGTAACCCTGTTCGGGGATTACAGGATGGGTTTTCTGTCACAAGCTTGCTAAGGAACCGAAACAAACAAAACAAAAACAAAAACAAACAAACAAAAAAATCACCCCAGATGGTGTCTCACCCATGTTCAGTGAGTAAGGCTGCTTTTGTAGGCAGATTAGCAGTGGCAAATAAACTGTCCCAGAGGAAGAAACAGGTGGTTTTAAGAAAGAGGGACTCAAAATGGGAGGGATTCCAAGGAGACACTCAACTGCCTTAGTGGTCAGGGAACCAAATGATAGGATTTTTGGCGTGCTAAAAGAGAGAATACAAAATAAAAAATATCATGTGGGGGCATACATATAGTTTTCCATTGGGGTGGTGCTTAAAGGTGGCATTGCTGATGTGCAAGTAGCTGATTGGGACTCTTTTCATGCCACAGGTAAGTTGCATAGGAGAGGGGAAAGAGACCCCTGGTCCCACCTCCCAGTGCTGAAATATCCCATCTAGAGCAAAATCCTCTCAATTTCTTTCTCGCAAAAAATATATTCTGCTCTTACTTCCATTGTTCTTAATTATTCATTCTTCAATTTTAGAGAACCTAAACTCATACCTAACATAGTAGGTCAGGAGTTTCATTCCCCTATATAACTGTCTGACTGCTTATATTTCTGACTAACTCAGCTGCCCATGAAATTAAGAATAATTTGTCACCTTCACTTAACATAATTGTAGCAAATAAAATGTACTTAATGGAGATAGTGAAATATATGATTAAAATGAAAAAATAATTATCACAGTTTCTCTACCTAGCATCACCAAACATTTTCAGCTTTCCAGTATGTGGAAAAATAAAAACGAAAAACAACTCTCAGCAAATACCCATAGTATAAAGGACAGTATATAATTCACTGTATTTACCATGTTATCTGTGGATATTTTGTAGACCACAAAAGAAAAATTGAGCCATTGAATGAACAACTATCAATTTCAATAACTGTGCTAATAGAACTACATGGTTGAGAATTGTAGAAAAAAATTTTTTGGTACCAGGGATTGAACTCATGACTGTTATACTCTAGAAAAAATAGCTTCATTATATTTGTATTATAGCAAATTACCTGTAACATGGCCATACCATATATATGTTTTCCTTCTCCATCTGGGTGACCTAATTGATATGTGAATCAATGCTCTCCTCTGTAAAGAATTATAAAATCTTACCTAATTGATATGTTAACCATTGCTGCCCTCTACAAATAACAGATGTGGTGCTAAAATAAGCTAACAAAGGTTGTTAATTGCTACTAGACTTCTCTATTCTCTGCTGAAGGAAACAGAATTGATTCCTGTTTACAGGAAATCTTGCTTGTTTGCAGGAAAATCTGCTTGTTACCTGAACTTTGCTCTTCCCAATGTAATCGCTGTGATCTTGTTCTGTAGTGCACCCCAGCCCCCCTCCTTACATTGTAAGACCAGCAGCTGTTTGCGGTTTTACAAGCTAAAAGCCTGCCTTTTAGCTGGTAGGTGCGCAGTCTGCAAATTGGCTCCTGGAGACTGTCACCAGGCCTGGCCTAAAATAAAGCCTTTGCTCCCTAAATTTTAATTTCTTGCTTCCTTAAATATTATTCTCGGGTCTGAGTTATCACAATGACATTGTACTTGCCTGGCTGGGGAAGGTACCACTGAGTTCAATACCCAGCCTGAACAGCCTTAGATTCTAAATACGACTATTACTACTGTTTAATTTGCCATTGACAGATTTAATTGAAAATTTTGTTCATCTACATCTTCACAAATGAAATTATTTTCTTTCCTTGCAGTTTAAATCACTTTTTTTAAGGTACTGGGGATCAAACTAACAACCTGGCACTGGCCAGGCAGGTACTTCTGCCTGCTGAGCTAAAACCCAGGCCCCTATGAAATAATATTTTATTAAGTATATAAATATCACTTTATCCATTCAAATGGTATTGTGATTTTACTACAGGAGGCCAAGGTACACAGAAATTAATATACAGTCAGAGAGGAAATGGAACCTCAAAGGAATCAATGTAAAAAAACTAAATACAACAATCCCTGCTAGAGGCACAGCTGAAGAAAGCCAGACCTGAAGGTGAAGATGCAGTAACCATGTCTACATGCCTCTTAAAGAGAAAAAAAAAATGTGATAGCTCGAACCCCCAGGATAAAATCCAAGGAAGCAAGAAATTAAAATTTGGGGACCAAAGGCTTTATTTCCAGGCCTGGGGGCACAGTCTCCTTAGGATCGACACAAAGACCGCGTGCCTTACAGCTGGGGGAAGAGGCTTTTAAAGCTGAAAACTGGAGGAATGTTGTAATCACTGACACAGATAGCATCTTGGCTTTACAGAACTTCCTGAAATTTCCTTGAATTTAAGCATTTTCTAAAGAACAACACATTTTATTATAGACCACTGGGTAGGGAAGGGAGTTACAAGAAACTGAAACCTAAGGCTTTTATGGCCTTTCAGGAAATTGAAACTTAACCTAGACAGACAGCAAGGGGGAAGGGGGAATGAGGAAAGGGGAGGCAGTGCGGTGCAAACAGAACAGAAATAAGGTGCAATGGTTAGAGCTAGGCTATAATAAACAATAGCTTGAAATGTACAACAGTTACCACCACCTTCCCCAGGAAGTCCAGATAGGCATCTATTACCATACTCAATGACCAGAAAAACTGTACTTTTATTCCCACAAAATACCTTGGCTCTTTCTGCATACCTTTTCTGGGTGCCTTGCTACCCTTCTGAATAATATTAGTTAAGCACCTATAAGCTTATAGGTTGATTGTAGTTTGAGACCCACTCTGTACTCACATTCTCACTTGGCTCTATAAATGCCCCGTGACAATAGATCTGTGGCCTAAACACTGAAGACCACTCCTGCAAAGTTAGTGCTATTCTGTCTTTTTTTCTAAGAAAACTTTTTGAACTTCTTTTGATTTGTGACTTCATTCTTCAATGTTGTGAGCCAACCAACTTCCTGCATTTGCCATCAAACAGGGAAGGATTATATTTCTCCTATTTCAATTTGAATATGAAACATCTGCTAAAGGCCATGATCCAAAGCCTTGATTTCAAGCTGCTTGTTTGCTCTGAGTTTGACATTTCCATGAACTTTTGGACCTCGTGTCTAGTAAATTGAAGATGCATTGGAGGAAGGAGGTCACTATCGTGATGTAGCACAAAAGGTCCCATTCATAACTATATTTTTCACTGCCTCCTGGGTGCAACTTCATGACCAGATTTCCTCTACCACAACATTCCATAATTCCCATTTTAGTTAAGTCAACTTTCATTCAGCTCTACTATTATTGTTTTCTTTTAATAGTCTTTCTCTGTTCCTCGGTTTTTTATATTTTTCATTTTTGTTTTTTGTTTTTTAACACATAGTCCCACTTTTAGTTCTGGCTGACATTGAACTCACTATGTAAGATAGTCTGTCCTTGAATACATGGTCTTTTTCCTGTTTCAGCCTCTTAAATGCTGGATAAAGATGTGGGTAACATAACACATGGTGTTTGTCTTTTTTCTTCCCTCCTTTTCACTATTATTCTTTCATTAAGGTGACACTGTATTTAATCCAGGTACTTGCTTGTGTCAGTAAACCTTTGTGGAGCTTGAGATCCCATTTGCAAACAACAATATAGGAATCCAAGCAGCCAAAGAATAAATTTGGAATTTAAATTGCTGTGCTCAGAACCACTTCTATACAGACTCACCTCCCCCATTTCAAAATCTAAACGAGTGGTCCTGGACTTGAAAGTTAAGAGTTTTTAAAAGAGACAATCACAAAGAACATTCTATTGGAAACAATGTGGCTAGAATCTTATGTTAATTTTTGGCTGACACCTGTATCCTGTTTTGTTTTGTTTTTTGTTGAGCAGGTTAAATTTTTTTCTTTGGCTACAGCTCATTTTGCTTTTTCTCATTGGACTTATACACTGAGTCATTTTCCATTTTCCTGGGTCAAATACAAGGCACTAGTTAAATGTAGGGCTCAAGATGGCATGATTTATGCCAAGCTACAACATATCTAGGATACAGTGCCAAGCATTAATATTTTCTAGGTAAAAATGCACATAATATTTGACTATTCCAATATTTGTGAGGCTCAACATTATAATAAAGCCTGATCTAGAGTCATGAAAGGCTAAAGTCACCAGGTCTCTCATTATTTTCCACTGGTCTTTTTCCTCATTTTCCATAAATACTCTCTGAGTTCATAATATTGGTGCTCAAATTTGATACATATTCCTAGCTGTGATGTCTCCCATTTTTGCAGTAGTGTAGTCTGTTATCCCCATAAGAGATAGAAACACATCTTTTGATTCCCTACACTCCAGTGGAATTATGTGTTAATTTGGACATTTTTCCTTTAAGTAAATGACAGTTAATGAGTGCATGTGTATCTCATGACTGTTTCCTCATCTTTCAAATAACACTAGGAATTCTTTCAGGTGTTAGGTGCACACCTGTAATCCCAGGACTTGGAATGCTGAGGTAAGATAATCACTGTGAATTTACTGGACTAAGGTGTGAGTCCAGAGTCAGCCTGAACTGCATATGGAAACCCTGTCTCAAACAAAAAAAATCTATTATTGTTGATATCCTTGAGAAGAAGAACTCCATAGTTTGAAAGTCTTAGGATCATACCTTTTAGGATACATCGGGTGACTATAAAAACAAGTAAGACTACCTTTAAGGATATGGAAAACTAAAACAAAAAAATCATATTGCAACCTCTTATACAGATTTAATGCAATGCCCATAGAAATACTATTAGTTTAGCTCACAAATACAGAGAAAATTTTTCTAAATTCATTTGGAAACAGAGAAGATCTAGAATACTAAAGACATTCCTGGGCAACAAAGGCAAGTCAGGAGGCAACACAATTCTTCACTTATAATACTAGAAAACTACTGTCACAAAATCACCAGAGTACCGGCAGAAAAACAGACCTGATAATCTACCAAAGAGACTAGAAGATGGAGACAACTACAAAGACAGTCTTGTCTTTGATAAAGGAGCCAAATATGTTCACTGGAAGAGAGATAGTCTCTTCAATAATGCTGAAGAAATTGACTTTCCCCATACTGAAGAGTTAAACTGGGTCCATGCCTATCACCATGAAGTAGACAAAAGTCAAATCAGCTTGGAGACCTAAGTATTACAACAGAAACACTAATGAGGCTTCATGAACAAAACACAAATTTTGAATAATCAACTTCAAAGAATCAACCACTGGGGCCCCATCTTATTAAATAATATTTGTACATCAAAAGAAATCATGAACATTGAAAAAACAATGCACATACAGTTTGGGCAAGGGATATCTTTCCATTTTCTGATAATCTCTTCAGTATCCTTTTATAAAGTACTGTATTTTCAATATGTAAGTCCTTGACATTCTTTGTTAGGTTATTATAAGTATCTCATTTTGTTGGAGGCTATTGTAAAGGGTGTGGTTTCTGTAACTTCTCTGAGTGAGTTGATTGTGTACAGGAATGCTCTTGATTTTTGATTGTCAACTTTGTCTTCAGCTACATTATTGAACTCGGTTAAGTGTAGAAGTCTTTTGGTGGAGTAATTAACATCTTCTACATAGAATATCATGTCATTTGTGAATAATGATACTTTACTTACTTTCTGTTATGTGATTATTCTTATTTGTCTCTTATGTCTAATTGTTCTACATAATGTTTCCAGATCTTTATTGAATAGGAGGGGTGATAGTAACCATGCTTTTGTTGTTCTTAATTGTAATGCAAAAGTTTTTAGTTTTTTACCATTTAGTATGATGCTGGGTATATTTTGTCTTTGCTTGTTTTATCAGGTTGAGGTAAAGGCTCTCTATTGTTACATACTGCAGGATTTTATTACAAATCAGTGCTCAATTTTATCAAAAGCTTATTGTACATTTATTGAGATGATCACCATGTGACTTTTGTTTTTGCCTGTGCTGATAGGACATTTACATTTATTGATTTGCATATACTGAAACATCCCTGCCTTCCTGGGATGAATCCAAGTTGATCAGGTTTTAAAATCTTCTTGATGATTTGCTACATTCACTTTGCTAGTATCTTATTAAGGATTTTTGTACCTATGTTCATTAGGAAAACTTGCCTATAGTTTTCTTTTTCTGGTTGTGTCTTTCTCTGGTATTAGTATCAGTATAATCCTGGCCCCCAGGAAAGAGATAGGGAGAACTGCTTCTCTTTCAAATTCATTAAAGAGTAGGGGCCATCAGTTTTCTATACATTTCTTGTAAAATTTAGCAGTAAATCCATGAAGACCTAGACTTTTATATGTTGGTCAATTGCCTTTTTCTTGTCATTGTTTTGCTTCATTTTAATGTGTTTTGCAGAGGGTCTTATTATGCCCTCGAGTGGCCTTGAGCTCACATTGTAGCCCTGTTTAGTTTCAAACTCACAACAATGCTTCTGCCTCAGCCTCCCAAGTTCTGGGGTTAAAGGCATGCACCACCCAGCTAGTACCCAATAAAATTTAACTAGATCTTCAGTCTCATTAACAGATACTGCATTATGTAGAATTTTTATATCTTCTTGAGTCAGCTTTGGCAATTCATATGTATCTAGGAATCGATTCATTGCTATATTATCCAACCTAGGGAAGCATAAGTTTTGGAAGTAGATACTGATGATCTTCTTAATTTTCACACGATCTGTAATTATCTTTCTGTTTTCATTCCTCAATGAATGGTTTTGAGTGTTCTTTTCTTCTTTTGATATGATTGGCTAAGGCTTATCAATTTTGTTTATTCTTTCAATGAACCAACTCTTTGATTCATTAAATATTTTTATTGTTTTATGTTCTGCACTTCATTACTTTCCTCTCTGATCATTATATTTTCCTCACTTTCATTGGCTTTGGGTTTGTCATGCCATTTTTATTCTGGAAGTGTGAGGTAAAACAGTAGATCTTTATTTATGCTCTTTCTATTTCCTGATGTGAGATTTGAGTACTATAAATTTCCCTCTTTGAACTGCTTTCATTAGAATCCCATGAGAACCAAGGTTTGCATCTGTATTCTTGTTGTGTTGTAGATATTTTCAAGTTTCTTCCTTTATTTCATCTGTGACCCATTGATTGTTTGGCAGTGTTACTTAATTTCCATATATTTATGAAGTTTTTGCAACTTCTTTTACAATTATCACCCAATTGTATTGCACTATGCTCAGCATGTAGTTTTATTTTGGTTATGTCTGTTTGGATTTCTATATGCTTCAGTTATTTGTAAAATGTATGGGGTAACTTCAGTTTTTCTTTACATTTACTTCAGCATGTTCTGTGGACTAGTTTACGTGGCCTGTTTTAGAGAACCTCCCTTGCAGGGCTGAGAAGAATGGTTATTCTGAATATGTTGGGTCACATACTTGGTAAACATCGATTCAGTTAATTTGTTTATAGATTCGGTTCAACTTTCATGTTTCGTTGCTGATTATTAGTCTAGTTCATCTATTTGTGATAGTGGGATGTTGAAGTCTCTTGGGTCAATTGTGTTATTCTTTGTTGCATTATTTTCAGCAGTAAATCCATGAAGACCTAGACTTTTTAAAACTGCCTTATAATGTTGGGTGGTCATGTATTAGATGTACACATATTTATCATTGCTATCTTATTTTTTAAAAACCTTTGCATTAACATGTATGTAGTGAGGCTCTTTATCTTTTTGGTCCTTCTTGGTTTGAAGTTCACATTGTCTGCAAAGAGCATAGCTACTCATGCTTTTTTCTGGGACTCAGTTGCATGGAAAATTGCTTTCTGTCCTTTGACTTTCAGTCTCTGAATTTCTTTTTGAATTAAACATGTTTTCTGTATACAGCTTATTTTTGTATATTGTTTCTTGATCCATTTCACCCATCTATTTCTTTTGATTGATGCGACCATTAACAATGGTACATATTGGTTTGTCTTTGTTGAAATATTGTTCTGCTGTTGGTTTTCTGCTTTTTTTCCTCTGTTTAATTACTTGTCCTGCCTGGTTATTTCTGTGTTTTTCTTGGAATTGTGACCATTTTTTCCTCTCTCTAATATAACATTCGTTACTTTTTATAGGGTCAGTTTTGCAGTCATATATTTCTTCAGTTGTTCTTTCTCATAGAAGTATCTTATGTTTCCATTAATTTTGAAAGTTTTGTAGGATACATCAATCTGGATTGGATGTTCTTTCCTTTCAGGACTTGTACTTCTATCCAACTTTCAGGACTTGTTCTTCTGTTTCAACTACAGCTTTCTTCTTTACTTGGATATTTGTGTTGAGAAGCCTGAGGTAGGTTCATCAACAAAAATAAAGGAATCAAAGCATACAAATTGATAAATTTGGAATTTGATTAATAGAACTCAGGACCACTCATATAAATTACCTGCCAATTTCAGAGTCCAAATGAGTGCCTAATCTGGAAACTTACAAATCTTTTAAACAGAGAACCACAAAGTGACATTCTATTGGAAACAATTGAGCTAGAATCTTACATTAATTTTTAGTTGACACCTGTATCATGTTTCTTTCATTGAGCATGGTAATTTTTGTCCAGGTGGTAAAGCTTATTCTGCTTTTCTCACAGGACTTGTACTCTGAGTCATTTTCCATTCTCTTGGTTTAAATATATGGCACCAGTTAAAAGCAGGGTCTAGATGATGTAAGTTATGCCAAGCTACAATAAAGAGTGCTAAGAATTTGATGTGCTTTCAATTATAAGTGATCTGTGACTTCTCCATAACCGCATTTTATAATGTGTCCTTGTGCTGTATTTCTGGTATCTTGAATATTATATATCTTGGTGTAGTTTTATTTTGGTTATGTCTGTTTGGATTTCTATATGCTTCAGTTATTTGTATGAAAAATTCTTTATTCATGCCTGGGAAGTTTTCTTCCATTATTTTGTGAAGTTTTTTTATGGTATTTGTGTTGTCTCTGGCTTTCTCATTGACCCCAATCAATGTCATGCAATTCTTCTTTGATGCATTTTGTACCTGCTGGATTGATTTCTCATAGTCTCTTGCTACTTTTAAGATAGCACTGTTTTCATGACAACTAGCTACAATTTTGTCTTCAAGATCTGAAATTCCAAACCTCTCTTTTGTTCAGTCTGTGCATATAATTTTAATCTCTTATAGGTTTTATATAAATCATATATAGCATTGAACTTGTTGAACTCTTGTTTGGATCTCTTTCATGTATTCCATTTCTTCCCTATGTTGGGCAACCTTTGTTTTTCATTGTTTTCCTATGTTCATCTATTCTTCTATTTGCTTGTTCTCTAATACATTTGACTTAAAGTATTTTTTTTTTTTGTATCTGAAAGATTTTCTCTGTAAACTTTTCCACTTTTTTTTTCAATTCTGGGTGATCAATGTAAAAATTTAGAGAACAGTCTCTAGTTGATGGGTTTCACTATCATGCATCACATAGGATCTAATATGCATTCTGCATAATAAACAAACCGTGTGTCTATCATCAGTGTAATCAATGTACACTGCAAAGAAGTTCTAGTAAAAAATGTATCATAAAAAACAAAATAAACAGAAAAAATCCACTTCTTACTTGTGGAGAAAAAAAGAACAAATAGTGATAAATCTCACACATGAAGGACACCCTCCAGGCTTCAAGTAAGGGGTCCTTAAGGCAGATGAAGGCAAGGACGAAGCATCAACTGTCCTCAAGTTAAGACCTTACTAATGGAGTTTCTGGGACCAATCTTCCTATCATAGGAACATGCACTTTTATACTTTGCTCTATACACAAACTAACAGAGACACATGGAGATCTCACTGTGTGCTGACTGCCCCACATCCCCAGAAGCAGCTCACTCTTGGGGAGACAAGTGAATCCACACCACCAATATCTGGTGATGACTAAGTCATGGAACAGAAAGCGAAAATGAAAAGCAGGCAAATCCTCTGGAGGAGCCCTCAGTCTGGCTCTAATGTCCTGCCTTTGTATCTCTGTTCAGATCTCTGATTTCTAGCAAAGTTATCAAAACTGCTGTCTCTTCTCTGACCACAGGATACAACCTCAGAAGTGGGTGTAACAGTGAGAGCTGAAGGTTCCCCTGCCCCTCTGTAGCTGCTGTTTGGAGGTCAAAACCCCTTGTCCTCCTCCATCTCCCTCACTGTCTCTCCCACCTAGCTTTGAAGGTTAAGCTGCTGCCAGGCAGTCTGGGTGGAGATGCTTAGCAGGGCCTTCAACATATATTTATCTGACACACAACTTTTGAGTAACTGATCATGGGAAGGAAAGTTATAGTAAAAAGTGACATCTGAGTGGCAGGAATCTTGCTCTGTACATCATGACACCAGCATCCATGTGGTGGGGATCAAAACACATAGGGTTCTTGCCACACTCCACAGCTTTTCACAACACAGCAGCCCTATTGCTGATGGTACAGGTGCTTGCCTCACACCAGCACACTGGCCTACAGTTTGCAGCTGGACTTGGGAAATCAATTCTGCTGTGATTCAGGAGACAGTGAGCAAGAACAGAGAGAACACAATGGAAGCCTGGCAACTAGGTGGCCAATACAAAAGAAGAGCTGATGGTGGCCATAACCTGAGGCTGGTCAATGGGACAGCATCACGTTGTACATAAGTGAGCCTTGGGCCTGTCCCCTATCCAGGGCTGTCCAGGTCCTGAGGGGCCCAGAGCTATGCCATTAGAAGGCTGACCACACTACCACACCTTCTAATACCATCCATTGCTCTTAGGACAGGACCAAAATGCATGAACTCAGGTGGCAGGAATTTAGATGCAGACACATTTGGGCTGGGGCACACTTATTTGTCTTTATTCCAAAATGTAGTACAGATCTGAGGGACCCACTTCATGGTCTGGTGCACCCAGCCTTTGTTCCCTGAGCTGATACAATTCTGCCCATATCACATGAGTCATTTCAAAGTTACTGTGTCTACCTGGATTCTGCCAGACAGGAGCTTCTGCATTTGTCTCCTGACATAACCAAGAATATATGCATCACACAGGGACCCAAAGCTTATGTCAGGTCCTGCATTGCTCTACAATCAGATTGATCTTGATCCCCCAGTTCTGACCACCATGTCCTGAGGAGAACTCTAGAGCTTAAAGCCAAGAATAGAGTTCCTGGTAGCCTCAGTCCCACATTGTGAATCAAGGACAACACATTTTGGTTCTAGTTTGTTGTGGGTGACAACAAATCATCCATACCTGTGGGTACTGGATTCTCTCTTTGTCAAAAGTGTCTGGGGGAATGAAGAACAGCTCCCAGTCCAGCCAGGGCTAGCACAAGCCCAGATGTGTTCTCTTGAGAGAAGGGAGTATAAGAGGAGGAGGGAGGGATACCTGGGGAAAGAGAGAATGGAAGCTGGAAGAAGAAGGCTAAGAAAATTCCCTGAGCTACACAATGGCTGGCACTTTATTTTGCCACCCACCATACCTTTTGGCTGATAACACCAAGCTGCACCAGCTATATTTTGGGCAGCTACACATGCAGTTTCTCCTCTTGTAGCTCCACTGAAAGGTTCAGAGAAGACTGTGGTGGAACAGGAAGGACCTGGGTAGACAAAGTCAGGCAGTCATACAATCTGTGTTGTGCAAATTCACTATCAGACAGAGCCAGTGTCCACTGCCACCCTGACCCAGCAACAGCAGGCCAGGAGCTCTCTTGTTCAATCCTGATGCCCTCACAGGCACTGGGGCCCACACATCAGAGAAGGGCTGCCTACCTCTGTGGCTTCCACAGCACCTGCTCCTGCCCTTGTTTTGTGCTCACCTTCATGGTGCTCAGCTCCCACATGGTGCCACACAGAGGGGCCTGGATTTTTCCATGCTACCTGGCACTGATCTTGTGCTTCAGCTTGCTATGCCACAGTACCAGTTCAAGTAACTCCCCTCATGCTCAGGGAGTAAGGGAGGCCACATTCCCAGTTACATGGTTGCCATGTGTGAAAGTGAAGCCAAGAGATGCTACTGCCCTGGACTTTGAGCCCGATAATGATGACCATCAGATGGTGGTCAGAGCAGCAAGCTGGGGAACTGCACATCTGTTGCTTGGAGAACAATGTTCCAGTCCAGGTCAGGACAGCTGAGATGCTCAGTGACTTGTGGGGAACAGGGGCGGGATGGAAGTGAGGCAAATGTCATCACAGGGTTTAGGAAATGATGCCAGGGAAGAAGAATGAAACTTAGTCTCCTCTCAAAAGATGTAGTCACCAGGGATTTGGGCTTTAGTTAGTCATCAGTACCATGAATCAGGTCAAAGGGCGGTTTGGTTTGTTCACTGTGTCTGAGGTATGACAGTCCTTGCAGGCACTTGGTAACAATGATCAAATAGGATGAAGTTGTCTCAATGGACAATTCAGTCAAGAACAACCTGCAACCCTCCCAGTTTACTGTTGGCCCAGGAGGAGACATTCACAAAGCAGTTAGCTGCTATGCAGGAGGGGATAGGGTAAACAATCATTGTTTGGGAAGCTGGGGGTTAAGGAAAATACTACTAGTAATTGCAAACACCCCTTTAAATTGTTTACTTATTTCAGATGACATCCTCAAAGTAATGAGAACCACAGAAGTCTTTGCTTTAGGCTGAGGACTTTGCTCAGCAACTTCAGCACCTGTCTAGAAAATGCAAGGTTGCTAGTTTGATCCATGCTACCAAAAAAACAAAGACATAAAATGATAAATTACATTAAACCAAACAAAACAGCACACACACACACACCCTCTTGTAAGTCATCTAGAGTAAACAGTGCTTGTTAAAATCACCCTTTGAAACTGGCATAGTTATGCACAACTGCAATTGCCATACTGTAGGAATTTGAGACAGGAAAATCAGAAGTTCAAGCCTAGGCTGAAGAATATGGAGACTTAAAAAAACAGAGAGAAAGAGAAAGAGAGAGAAAGAGAGAGAGAGAGAGAGAGAGAGAGAGAGAGAGAGAGAGAGAGAGAGACAGAGACAGAGACAGAGACAGAGAGAGAGAGAGAAGTTAAACAGAAAAGCTATGCAAACATTATAATATCTAGTTCTCTACTCAGAAGTGTTCTAATCCACCATTTGTTTTGTTTAATTTTGTCTTTTTGAAACAAGGTCTCACTTTGCAGTGCAGGCTAGACTTGAGCTCACTGTGTAACCTAAGTTGGTCTCAAACTTTCAATAATCCTGACTCAGCCTCTTGAGTGCTGGGATTACAGGTCTGCACCACCATGCCCTGCTTCCACTATTTTTTTAAAACACAGGCTTCAGAAATGTTTGCTAGAGGAAGACACAAAATGCACTCAAGCATGGAGTCTGGGTGCTCAATGAGATGAGGCACCTAATCCACCAGTTTTGATGCACAGTGCACAATGCAGCAGGATCTATAATGTGATTCCAGGAGAAAAGGAAAGTGTCTCCCTCTAGAGGTGAGGACCAGTCCTCCCCACATGGGTGTGATAGGTCTCTCCAGCACAATCCAGCTGCCCTTGTGTTGGGGAGGCAGTTTTGACAGTTACCCCAGCAGCTCTCTTCAATTGCCAATAGTCATGAATCTGTCTTCACTCTGCTATTCTCTGGCAGTGTACACTTTTGGCATTGAACTCTGCAGGGTGCACCCAGAATGCTGTTCCTTTAGTAGTTATGTGTGGGAAGCCGCCTATGATGGCACCCATTTCTTGCTTCCGGGTTCTTCCCGGCCTGAACAAGCCCGCCAAATTGTCATGTCTGCCCAGTTACCCGTGACGCTAGCCTATCAGCTTGTTAGACGCGCTTCTCTGTGATTGGATACTGCTTCCCCTTATAAGAGGCTGTTCCTGCCCCCAACGGGCGGAAGAGGAACCAACGTTGAGGGTGGCGGACCTTGTTAGGTCCGGTTCGCTGTACGCAATAAAGTTTGAGAGCTGATCCTGCTCGAGTTTGGTCTCCTGTCTCCCGCGGCTCCGGTCATCTGGTGGCCCGTACGGGGAAAAAGGTAAAAGACTCAGTGACGTGCCTCTTCGGCCGGGAGGTGCGATTGCTGTCACCTGCGGTACGACGGAGGACCTGGCCCAATAACAACGGAAGGCCCCAAGCGCCTCTTCTCTTCACCCTGATCAGCTACGTGAGATACAGCGGTTCCCGGGACAGGTGAGTACTGGATCGCCTGGGTTGGGTGGACGCACCTAACAGATTTTGAGCGCCACACGGGTGGGCACCGGTCTTTTTTTTTTTCCCTTGCATTTGTTTCGCTTTCGCTTCGCCATTGTGGGCAACGCTGCTCGCAAACCCCTCGCTGACTCCCTAAGAGTCCTGCTGTGGACCCGAGGCATCTATATAAACCGGGTCACCCTTTCGAGATTTCTGGATCGTGTTAATGAAATTGCCCCCTGGTTTTGGCCCACGGGCTCTCTAACCCTCCCGTCATGGGAGAAGTTAGGAGAGGATCTTAGATGCGCCCGAGAAGAGGGACACTTGGATCCCATGGTTTTACCCCTGTGGGAACTGATTAGGGCTTGTCTGACGGACGAACAAACCCCCGGGCTTTGTTCAGCCCGACAGGCTCTTGACAAAGCTCGATCCGAGTGCTCGGAGGAGCCCGAAGTTACACCTGACTTTGGGCCTCCAGAGAAACACAAGGGCTCCAATTCTGATTCGGATTCGGAAGGCTCAGAAGAGGAGGTCGTCTTTGCTAAGCATCACCCTCCTACACCGTTAAAAGAGGAACTTAGGGCTCGGGAAGATAAAAAGGGGAACCAAACACCACCCTGCCCGAGCTACTCCGCTTTGCGGGAGGAACTTAGGTACTTCCGCTCCTTGGCAAGCTCGCGACCCATGGTCGCCCCCTTTAGGACGCCAGGCCCCACTGCACCGCCGTGGCCGGAAGAGGAGTTGCTCCCTGGGCTGCCACCTCCACCCGTGGCCGCCAGAGGGCGCCCACAACCTATGGCACCGCGCTGGTTAGAGGGAGAGCTACTTCCCGGATTACCTCCTGCGCCCCCTTCTGGGGGAGGAGGAGGACGTTCCTTCCATATGTGGTAAATGCTCTCCAAGTTCTGGAGACGGCGGGTCCCATTAAACCCTCTTCAACGGTAGCCTCCATATTCCTAGGTATTCAACATCAGTTATGGAATAGAACCTCAAAAGTGTTCATCTCACATATCAGAGCCCATACTAATTTACCTGGGCCCTTGGCGGAGGGCAATGCCTTGGCAGACTCGGCCACATGCCCGATATGGGTCTTCACCTTTCCCAACCCTCTGGAAGCAGCCCAAAAAATTCCATTCTCAGTTCCATGTTAATGCCTGCACCCTCATGGCGTGCTTCAACTTCACGAGAGCACAAGCACGAGAGATTGTACGGTATTGACCAGCTTGTGTGATCTCTTCACCCCAACAATCTATTGGCATTAACCCAAGAGGACTTCGCCCAAATCATATTTGGCAAATGGATGTTACACACATCCCAGAATTCGGAAAACTTAAATATGTTCATGTTTCGGTAGATACCGCCTCCCAGGTTATGTTTGCCTCGGCAGAACCCGGAGAAAGGGCTACCCACGCTATTAATCATTGCCTGGCAGCCTGGGATGCTTGGGGAAAGCCCAATATACTAAAAACAGACAATGGTCCTGCCTATACCAGCAAAATTTTATGACATTTTGTCAACAAATGGAGGTCACTCTTAAACATGGCATTCCTTACAACCCCCAAGGACAAGGCATCATTGAGCGATCCCATCGGACACTCAAGGGTGTCTTACAAAAACAAAAGGAGGGAATAGGCCATGGCCTAACGCCCAAAGGAAGAATATCATTGGCACTCTTTACCATAAATTTTTTAAACCTTAATCACAATAATCATTCCCCTGCCATGGAGCACAATAACCCGTCCCCAGCCGACAAAGGGCTGGTGAGATGGAAAGATGTCCTTACAGGACAATGGATGGGCCCGGATCCAGTGGTTAGTTGGACCCGAGGTGCGCTTTGTGTCTTCCCACAGGAACCAGGTCGTGAGCCTCTGTGGGTCCCGGAAAGATTGACGCGATCAGTAAACTCCCCACCAGTTCCTGATAAAGCTCAGGAGGATAAGCCCGCGGACACAAGTCAACTCGACCCTTCTGGGACCGACGCTCAGCGCCCGAGACCATCTACAAACTAAAATGTCTGGTTGGGAGCCTTTTCTATTCTGTGGGTTCCTATTAATCACCCCTGTTCGCACAAATTTGACCAACACTGTTAAAAATATGACAGCTTGGCTGCAAGACACCTACCTACCTAAGTTTCACAATTTGTCCCTCATAGTCGGTCAGGAACTTGACAATATGGACGGTATCCAACTAGGTCCAGTCAGGGGTTCTCCTGGCCCATCCTGACTACTTGGATCCTGATTGCCGTGGCCATCCTAGTGGGGCTTGTGGTTATTAAATGCTTGTTAGATCGCCTCATACAAACTCAGCAGCAGGTTAAGATCACAGCTATGGCAGCCATGCAAATGGCAGCAGGTGGCCCATCAGGCCAGCAGGCCGCCGCATATCTCCTTCACATTGCAGAACATCAGCTATAAGAGCTGAGTGGGCAAGCCAATGACGGGTAAGACAGGAAAAGCCCTCCCGGTCAATCTAAGACAGGCTCCACTCAGATATACATGGCCTATAAGGCCAGGGGTCCCTCCCGTAGTCAAATTATTGGCATTGAGATGCGAGATCAAGGGTACTGCAGTGCCATCCGCCCCAAAGGTTGGGGGGAAGGCAGGAATGAATGTCTATATGCATCCAGGTTCGGTTCACAAAAGCCTGGCCCTGCGAAAAAATGAACCACTCACCTTGAGCATGGTCCTGGCACAAGGATATGCACAAAACAGGGTGATGCACAGCAGGGTATAGACCTCTACATTCTCTCATGCCTCGGCCTACAAGGTAGGCCCACTCCTAGGTGTCTAACAGCAACAAGGTCATAGACACCTTGGAGGGACCCACAGACCATCCTATTTTAATAAATAAAAAAGGGGGACATGTGGGAAGCCGCCTATGATGGCGCCCATTTCCTGCTTCCGGGTTCTTCCCGGCCTGAACAAGCCTGCCAAATTGTCATGTCTGCCCAGTTACCCGTGACGCTAGCCTATCAGCTTGTTAGACGCGCTTCTCTGTGATTGGATACTGCTTCCCCTTATAAGAGGCTGTTCCTGCCTCCAACGGGCGGAAGAGGAACCAACGTTGAGGGTGGTGGACCTTGTTAGGTCCGGTTCGCTGTACGCAATAAAGTTTGAGAGCTGATCCTGCTCGAGTTTGGTCTCCTGTCTCCCGCGGCTCCGGTCAGTTATGAAACAGTGTCAGCAAAAAAAAGGGGCCAGAGATATGGATTAGTGAACATTTATCACAATTGTCAAGACTCTTGAGACATGAGCCTTCCATAATCCTGCCTCTTGGGCTGGGAACAATGAACCAACCAGGTTGATTGCTGGGTGCAAGGAAGGCAACTGGCAGCCTGAATTTCTGAAGATGCAGGCAGATGCCAATCAATGATGATTCGGCTCTCAGTCAAATACTTACCAGTCATGAGGTCATTTAGCCACTAGTCCATGAAATTAGTGCCCTCTAGAAGAGCATGGGGTGGGATGCAGCTGCCTCCCTTGTCTGTGACCTAAGGCTCACAGAACAGAAAGGGAGGCTCCCCGACATCTGCCAGGTCCCTCTGCCTGTCCATGGGAGCCTGGCAGGAAGTGAAAGGGTGCAGAGTAACCTCCCTGGGCACACACTCTACCTGCCTCCCAAACCATGACCACATACTGAAATCCACAGTATCTTGTGCCTGGGACCCACCACACTCTGCCTGACATGGGGTTCATGCTCCAGGTGACAGAATATGGTACACTAGGGTATGGTTCCCAATGTGCCCAGCTTCCATAGATGCCTCTGCCTTTTGGGGCCCAGGTCCACCTCTCCCTTGTTGTAACGTTTATTACCTGC